TAAAGAAGTAGTAGAGGCATAGAACACGAATTTTAGAGGAAATACGCCCCAGCAGCTGCCCACAGCGCCACGGCCAAAAGTCCAGTCCACAACATTCGCTTATTATCAGTCAGCACCAAAGCTTCTGCGTCATTACCAGTGTCGGTCGCACTAGGTTCCCCGATAGCTGCTGTCTCTGTAACATGTTGACCCGCCGAAGCCGTCCCATCAGCATATCTATTGGAATTCGGGCAGGATCAGAATCGTGAATCATAAGAAACAAACATCAAGGAAGAAAGGAAAAAACGCAAAAGAACAGGATAATGAATAAGAAAGCATAGAGAAAGGAGAATATCAGAAGAATGAAGAGACAGCAAAGCGAGCAACCGGGGCGTGAAGCACAAGGAAAGGACTTACGCAGAATTCGCCATATCGGTATTGCTGTTCGTATCGAACAGTAAACCATCGATAGTATGCATCACGACATTCTCTGCTAGGATATCCGTTGAAAGGATCTTGGCGCTGACGTCCTTCCCACTCCAAACGTAGGTCCCTGTCCCATTCTGTACAATGATCATCGATTCTCCAGCTGCAGAGGTATAATTGGCACCATCGACAAGAGAAGGAGAATATACAGATGTTCCGTTTATGATCTAAAAGTCTGTTAGCACAAGAAAAAGCTACGAAAAAGAAAAACGACTTGCATGATTCTGCAGCATCGTGATCAGGGCAGGCTGGTTTGTGGCGTAAGAGGGCAAATATGAGGACGCTTCGGCCCAAGCACGATTTTCAGGAACAAAAATCGTCCCACCAGCAAGGTCGGACAAAGCCTCAGCCATGTTTCCAGTTGTTCCATCAGGACGAGTGACTTGGGTAGAATTAATGAATCCGAGGAAAGAATGAAGGCCATAGACGTCTTGGGAAGCAGTGAGAACCGCGAGTAGAGGATCCGGTGAACGAAGGATGCTGTCGACGGAGCAGCAGAAAATGTTCAAAAAGGTCGTACAATTGGCGACCGTGACATTTGTTCTGACAAAAAGATGATCAGAATAGAATACAGCCCGACCAAGAGGGAGACGTACATTTGGTTGAGGATCGTCACCTGGTTCTTGCCTTGATTATCGGGATTGCTAGTCCAAACCACAACCTGGCTCTCGTTTCCTTCAAGCTGATTTCGGAGCAAGGTACGCCCTATCGTGTGCTCAGGTGATGATGCGCTCTCCAAGGTAGAATTCGGTGTAGAAAAGTTGCCAGACCAGCAGTGATAGCTGAAAAACCCAAGAAATGTTTCGAGATCTGAAAGATAGCTTGTGTTTCCTGCGGCGACTGTGAAAATGAGGGTCAGAATAATATCATAGAGTATATCCATTCGTCCGAGCTCGGTGAGCCTTGGTTCCAGGACCTGGTCTCCAGCATGGCTTGCCGAGTCGTCATCCTGCCTGCTAGAGCCTTTATCCTGACTCGCCCAGCCTCTTTACGAACAGCGAGCATGTAAAAAAAAGCGACTTACTAGCTTGACTATTCGGCAGCATCATCGTCCAATTCCCGATATACAGCGCAGAGACCAGCAGATTTCCAGTAGCGGTATTCGTGAGATTCAGCTTCTTCAGAGCACTTGCGAGCTCAGGGACTGTACGGTCGATGTTCTGGATGACCTGGTCGAAATAAAAGGCATTGGTCGCGTTGTAGTAGGTGCTGTCGGTGGAGCTGGTCGCATTCGAGCTATTGGGATCGCCATTGTTGGACTGGGAAGCGCAGAACGGAACGAAAAGAAGAAATAGAAAGAACCACATTGAGCGAGATAAAGTAAACCGAGGAGATGAAGGATAATGGAGCAATGAAGGAGAAGATGAAGAGAATTCGAAAGTCGATGTGACAAAGTGTGACCGATATTTGGTGCCATGTTTGTCGATGCTTGGCGAGGGCTCCAAACTATTTTTGAAAAATAAATAAATATTTACAGTTATCTGGATTGAGTGAAAGCGAAGGCAAGCGAATAAATGAGGTCAATAGAACCGTAAAATCAAGATCTAGTACGGTTGCCGAGCAGGCTCAGGCAGGATTCTCGTGACGTGTGACGTGGTTCGGCTTAGCTGGGCGATATTCGGGTGAGCTGGGGCAACTCAAGTCAATTTATACGTCTAGATTAGACAAGATTAGATGAAGATATTGGTCGGCATTTCTTTCAGGCACGATGGATTTGGGCGGGAACGCGTGTCCTTTGGCAGAGCCTCAATTTATAGTAAGTAATGTCGTATGTTTTTACTAGAGTCAACGGAAGTATATCCATCGTAAGTATTGGAGTATGGCGGTAGGCCTGACTGTATATCTAGATTTAGCAAAGCAGAAGATCAAATATCGAAACATACCTTTTTGGGAAGCTTTTCCTTGTTAGCAAGATACAATGTAGCTTCAACGCGAATAGAGTCTTATTTACTGAGCTTTCGAAGGTTGCCCATTTTGGCGTTGATGGAACTTGCAGACTGGAGAGCCTGGGCTTGTTTCAAGCTTGGTTGATGGAGACGGTGCTCTCGCTCAGTGACAGCGGCCGCAACGGCACATTGATCTTTGGCTTGGGGTAAGAATATTGAAAAGATTGACGAACAGCGAAGTAAGACATACCACGTCTATTTGATTCAAGCCCCAGGGCAGCTTTGCAACGACCGCAGTAGTCTCCATCTAGAAAGAGATAACAAACACTACATCCTTGGCATTGCGGTTCGTCCTGAAATTGATCAGAACGTGAAGAGCATGTCGCTGGGAGCTTACCTGGATTGCCTTGCGCGCATTGACCGATGCCGTCTTGAGCTTAACACATTTGTGACATATAGAGAGCTGGAGAAGAGGGAAATCAGTGCCACAACTATCACAGCAAGTCATGGTGGCAGGGGAAACAGGAAAATCGGCGAAGAGTCAGGCTTTTTGAGGCAGAAAACTCAAGTGTGATCAGCGGAAGCTTAATCAATAGTTAGAGGTAATATTCAACGAGACAGTAGGTGAGCAAGCACAGAGGAATGGAAGATACCTCCCTGAAATGCCGCTGGAAATGCAAGAAAGGACAAATAGCTGAAGAACAAGAAAAATGAAGATTTGAATGGACATTAAGCTCTGGCCAGGTACATGGCTGGCCATTTACTTGGAGTTGAAGAAATCATAGTGGTGGAAACATATGGTTGAGTGAGAAATAAGGCAGCTGTAGTACAAAGTGGACAGCCATGTTGATGGGAAGAACAGGAAAAAACATACGACGCCATTATGTGAGCAAGAACTCCGCCGTCCACGTGTTCACATTGACATCCCTGCCACAGAGCCAAGTCCATATCTTCATCTAATCTTGTCTAATCCAAATGTATAATTCGAACTTGAGTCACCCCAGCTCACCCGAATATCGCCCAGCTAAGCCGAACTACGTCACACATCACGAGAATCCTGCCTGAGCCTGCTCGGCAACCGTATCTAGGGACCTTGAGGGGTCAACCAGGCGACACGCCACCAGCATGGTTTCGGCAGATAATAATGTCTACAAGGAGAACATTCGCAGAGATGGTATTTCTGGATCTTGATAGGTTAGCCGTGACCTCAGGTATAGAGGCACAGGCTAACCCACCTCCCAAGGCGGGGCTGGATCTGCGATTAATGCTCGCATTGGTGGAGTCTGTACGCCTAATCAGTTCAATATTCATGAATTCAATAAACCAAGCTCACCGACCATTATTGTTCAATATTTCAATAGCTCCAGTTCCCAGAGCCGCGAGCGGGAGACATTGTTGATTGTTGGGAATAGATCATCGAATCACTGATTGTGCGACAAGAAACGGCAGTGGAAGGTGAATAAGAGGACATTGAGACGATGGCGGAAATGACATGGTGACAGCAGAGCCGATACCTGAATAGCAAGAATTGGCGGTAACCAATCTCCAGTTTTTTGCAATCGGTTGAATCATTGTCGACTGCGGTGATTATGCCAGTGAAAGGAGAAACGTCGAAGATGGCAGATTGTCGTTGGCAGGCTGTCGTTACACCGAACCTGCTGCGACCCTGTATGTCTATACCCGCGAACGTGTCCGGTGATACTGGTCATATTCCCGACACAATTCGTAGAGGCCTTCTGAGGTCCATGAGCAAGGAAACCTGTGGAAAAAAACAAAGACGGACCTGGTTAAGGTTTTCGAGAGACCCTTGGTCAAGCCAGCAAGGCTTACATCTTCTTCGCACCTTCACCAATGACTGCGGCGCTGCCATCGTGGTTGAACAATCTTCGGCCCTGTAGCACAATTTTCTACCGCTTCTCAAAATCCTCCAAACCTTGGCAGCTTCGCTGGATCCATTCTAGCGCGACCTAGCACGTAGAAATTGCTAGATGCGATCCATCTAGCCTTTTGAAAATGATCGTTCTCCCGCTGCAAGAGGTCGGTCATTGATGGAAACAGGGAGCAGCATGAAGATACATACCATTCAGTCTGGCCGGATGAACAGCTATATCCATAGAGCCGAATTCGCCTCAATGCTGGAATGCATTGCAGGTCAGCGGCTAACAGAAAATATCGACGATTAGCGGCGACGAAATGGTTGGGTACGATATTGGCTCACCTGGGACATTTCGGCTGCATGACATAGTGGGTCGAAATTATTGACGAGGTCAAATGCCTCTAGCCCAATGAAATCTGGGGTGAGCTGTCGAGAGGCCCAGCACGTCTGAAGAGCCACATGGAGGGATTTTGACGGGCTAGAGGTCTCTAAATGATGACATTATGGGTAAAAGGTAGAATGGAATTCCCTCCTCGACCGATTTGCGTTGACTGTAGGAATCGATGGCCATTCATGTTCTGGTCTACAAAAGCGCTGAATGTCATCAGGATACTGCGGTAACGGCCCACGACGGCAATCTGATTTATTGGAGGATCAAAGGGGGATGAAATGAGGAAGATGACGGTCGGAGCCAAGAGCAGAGAAAGGCCCTTGTTTGTTGATCGGGTGATTTCCCACAGTATCATGAAGACATGGTGCAAACAGCTCTATATGCCCGTTTAGCTCAGTGGTAGAGCGCGCCACTCGTATTCGGTTCTCTGAGTCCCTCCGATGGTGAGGTCGCTAGTTCAAACCTGGCAGTGGGCATTTATTTTGCTGATTGGCATAGTGATTTGGTTTGTCTACCATGTCTGTTTCCCTAGGTTCACCCCAACTCACGTTCGCAAGACTATCGTTTGCGAGACCATCTCGATACTTCTACAAAGCCCGCAGCTGTTGCAGCGGAGGACGGATGGCGGATACGGCGGCGGCCCGCCGAGGTGTGAACAGCAGTCATTCCCTAATCACGATGTCAGTTTCCGCTCAGCTCATCATCTAGTAAGGCAAGATGGAGTTGTCAATGTGAAAGGTCTCGGGACCTTGTTGGATGCAAACTTCCGTTGTCCCAGAGAGCGACATGGCATGATTGTATTGTTCTTCTTGCTTCTGGATTGCACCATTTGACTATGATTCGAGCCAATCAGCATTGAATAAGTCATCCCATTTGTGCCTATGAGCTGAATGGATCTAGTTTGACATCGTACCCCATGGCTTCCTCCAATTGTAGTACGGCCTGTCGAATTCGGCCTCGGTTCTCCATATTCAAGCTTCTCCCACAATCATTGTAATACCGTCTCCAGTCTATCTTGACGGTATTTGCTTCTTTAAGAGCTTGCCGAACTCTCTCAGCACTCTGTGTCCAATCTCCCGCAGTTGGATTCCATCGTCCCAACGAACAATTGATTCGTTTGAACCAGAAATGATGCTGCATGACCGGACTGTGAAAAAAGTCTCGCCAAGCTCGAGAGACTGATTCGAGGTTGCGGATGTCACTTCCATTCCAGTCAATCTCGGCGAAGAGATGGACGACAACGTCAAGCGGGAGCCCTTTGTCAATTAAAGGCGAGAGAGGAATAACTCTGGAGGAAGACTCATCCAATGAATGAATGTTGGGGAAGCGGTCAGGCCGCTTGAGATGCGTCACTCCCCATTCCTCCTCATGACTATAACACTGCTCGCAACCGTCAAGCCAGTCTGGCCTTCTGCCTTTATCGTATCCGACGAAGAATGTCTCGCGCATTCGGTCGGTGACCTCCGCAAACGAAACAGAAGGCTCTCCGAGCTTTTCGAAAGTGGCTTTTGACTTTTGTCGGTATGCATCAAGTATGTCCTGCTCCGATCTGCGAGCTGCTGACCCGCCGCTGACATAAAAGAACTCGGAGACTGGGTGATTGTCCGAGTCCCAGAAGAACTTGGAAGGATCTGTAGTGTCGTTGGGCCCGTAGCGAGATGGATGAATGGCCCGAGACCATTCAGCGGCAAGCCGAATGCAGGTCTCATGGGTCATGAAAACATCCATGTGATCGTAACAAAAAAATCTACCAGACCCGCCTGTTTGACAGGCTGCTGCCCATGTCGGTACATTGATAGGATCATTAAGCGGCTTCTTGTCGTTGTCGTCGTCGTCGTCGACATCAGCAGGGTATGTAAGGACGGACCACATGCCCTGATCATATATACCTGTGGGAGAAAGGCAGTCTCCATAGACCACAACAACTGTTTCCAACCACTGATTGTCGGACTTGGTGAAGGAGGCATTATTGTCGTTGTCGTCAGGTTTGGCCTCTAGATCCTCAGACTCAACCTCAGGTGGACCTCCGCAGATGGAGCAATAAATGGTGCCGCCGCCCATGTTCAGGAGACGTGGTAGTGGTTCAGGTTCAAGAAGCAGCGCCCACCGTGTGTTGGAACTCAACGGAAACCCAAAATGGGAATTTGAGGCTTCTAATTTAATCTCCGGTTATAAGCCTGGTAGCAACTTGTTGAAAGCCCACCGTGTATGAATTCAGCGGAAAACCAAAGTGGGAAACCAGTTACAGGTCCTCGAGATTTATTTTTAACTCACTTGTTCTTTTATTACCACAACTTTGCATTGTCAGGTTGAAAAATCGCTGGTTGCTGCTGATGATTGGAAATGGTCCGGCCATTGCCGTGGTGGTGGGAAAAATCGTCAGATAGACGTCAGGTGATGAACCCCATCAGGATTGAACTGTGACACTTAGTTGGACTTCTCTGTGTCGAACTTGAACTCGACAAACTCAAACGCTTCAACTTCAGAAGTCATCCAGCCTTGTTCCATGTGCAACTCGAGGATGTTCCAAAACGGATTCAATGAGGATCGGTGAACTTCCGAATGATCCTCGTTATACCGATACTAGCCAATACAGGCCGAGACTATTTGCTCTGATTCGGCGGTAATTAGCTGTATGAAAAATTTATCAATGATCGTAAAAAGATCATCAGTTGCCACAGACGATCGTCGATGATTGTGTCACGGACAACTGGGAGGGTCATCTGAATTTGTCCTCTTGGGAACTTTTGGGACTCACGAAATGATTGAATATGCTTGCAGCAACGTGTCTGCCGAGAAAACTATATACTACAAACTCGACGTCGGAATTACACGAAGTCAGTGATATAATACCCATGTATGTACAGTAAACAATAATAATGCAATGTACAGTAATGCAATAATGATACCCATGTATACAGCAATAGTAGGTCGATGTCTATGTCCTACCGATTAATTTATCACAAGTCGTACTTTTCAAACGCGAGAAAAGACCAATGAAAGAACCCCAGTGAGACCAAGAAAGATGAAATGCAGTGCGATGTGGATGTGCGATATTGAAGAAAAAGGAGAGACGCGAGTCTGGTGAATGAATGAAAAGCGAAAAGGAGCGTGAAGAAAACTGAATGCGCCGCAAACAACCAAGTATCATCCCTGAACGCCAAAGTGATGCATATACGTCCCGGAATCCCAGTCGTTACCGATCTGTGCTTGAGACTGGGACTGGGATTGCAAAGCCTGAGCGTGATATTCGCTCTGTGACTGATGGTATTCGCCTGACGATAATTGAGCTTGTGAAGCTTGAGCCGACGTGTATTCTCCCTCTTGAGATGTCGCATTATCGAATGGAGCACTTTGCGGTTCCGAACCGTATGACGTGCCGTTCATGACGCCTGACTGAGACGAGCAATGTTCGGTGGTCCTTGGCGACGTCGAACCCGAAGATGACGATGATCTAGGGATAGAAGAAGTAGGAAACGTCGAAGCAGATGAAGATGATGTTGAAAACGATGATGACGAATCGCCCATGGTTAAGGGATAAGATCTAGATTCTCAGCATAAATGTTGAGAAACGAATCAGATAAAACTCACAATGCATTGTTCTGACTCTTCCGATGAATCTGGGAAGCCAAGGCGGCTTGAAGATTCGATGCAGAAGGCGCCACACCAAGCGGCGATGAATGGGTCTGACCGATCGACACCGGAAGCGCTGGAGCCGGTGGATATAATCTCGCCATCGTCGAGCGAGGAATCCCAAAATGGTCGAACTCGCTGGAGCTGTTGCTGCTGAAAGGACTATGATTGGCACTGAAAGGGCTGTCGACTCTATGACTCTCGATGTTGAATGGACTCCGATAATACGTCGCTGGAGCTGTTCGATGACCCTGACTCGTTTCGAATGACATGTCGAGATGCAAATCTGGAGGTCTGGGTCGTTGGGAGCGGTGTACCGAGTCGAGACCCAAAGTCCTCGAAGAATCAAAAGATAATGCCGGTGTCTCCAAACTGAGATGATCTCCAAGGCCTGTTCTCTGATCCATCGAGCCTCGATGATCTAACACGGGTGACCCCAACGGCGGTGACGGTGTCACTGAAGGGGACGAAAATGATAAGAGTCCACTCGGATAAGACCCATTTCCATACGGCTCGATGCTGTATGACGGAGCAGAGCCGTCGAGACTGTAGCTCGTGTAATTCGAGGACGTTTCAATACCATACGTCGTCGGAGAAGCTTCTTGAAATTGGAGATTTCCTGGAGAGAGGGATCAGAAAGGGAAGCGTGTGACGGAAGAGAAAGGAAGAGATTCGAAATGATGCAAGACGAAAAAAGAAAGGAAATCAGACATACCTCGATTCTTCGCCTTGTTAGGCCCTCGGACCCTTCCTTCCTTTGCATATTCACAAATCAATCCCCGATTGATGCATCGTTTGCACGATGGATGTTCTCCACTGCACTGAATTCCAGTCAGGTTCGGAAGCAAAGAGCGAAAAGAATAAACTGGGAAAAAAGAAAGGACAAGGAAAACAAGAGACCGATAGACATACTTTTGCTTTTCTCGTCCGGCATTTCTCACAAGCCTGGGCTGTTCTCAACCTTGGATGCTCCGGCGTCCGATAGAATATCCCAGTATTAGGATCCAGAGATCCAGCCAAGGTCATTCTTGGTGTAGAATCCATAATCAACCGAGGCGTACTGGTCAAAATCCTCCGTGGCGTCGATTCCATCCTCAAATTTGGCGCTGATTCCATCCGAATCCGTGGTGTTGAATGAAGGACCGAGGAAGAATTCATTGCAGAATGGGGTTCCAGGACTGGATGAAGGGAATGCTGAGGTCCGAACCCGAAAGACGAGCTCGACGACGACGATGATGAAGGAAAGGAAGGCGTTGAAGGAATTTCGGACGACGAAGATGGAAACGCCGAGCTCGATGGCCAGCGGAACGACGAGCTGGAGGAATAGGTGGAGCCTGATGATACTGGATATGACGAGCTGGAAGACGCTGGATATGAAGGAATGTAAGCTGGATACCATTCGTCCTGCTGAAATTGCTGCCTCGAATCTGGGTGAACCGGATTCACAGTTGCTGGGTAAACCAAGGACATTCTGGAATTCGAGGACGAGGGACGTGGCTCCGACGAACGAGGCCCGTAATTCGAGGCCAAAGAGTTCGAGGACACGGAATTCGACGACGAAAGACGAGGGTCCTCAAAGGACATGGTGGAAAAGGACAGGAAGCGCGTTTCAGGCTTAATAAATACGCGATCAGCCTTGGGGTTTCCTTCCAGAAAAGGAGATAAATTTTGAGTTTGTGCGTGCTGATAAATTCACCTTTGCAAATTGGTTTGCAGGGAGCCGTAGGAATTGGTATTTGATGAGGATTAAAGGAAAGAAAGATGGAAATCAGATCTCAGATCCTAAAACAAGTCAGATCTGCACCTCTCAGATCTTCGGCTAAAATATGGCGTATATTTCTGC